TGAGACTATAAACTTGCTTTTTTAAAGCTCTGTGGCTGCCTGAAAGAGAGACTTTCTAACTTGGTACAATTATTATCATTTTGTTGTTTGTTTTCATCTTTTTCTCGCACATACATTATGTGAATATGAGCACATACAATTATCATCATTTTGCAGATTTTTTACCTGGTTGGATTTGCATTGTTCTGCCTCGAGTCACTGCTGAGCTTGTGGGTGCTTCAGGTTAGAGTATTGATCACCATAAATCTACTAAATGACGTACTTTATGAGATCCTGAGGCTTTAGTGGTTTGGTGTTCTGTAAACAATTGTATATTTATATATATATTTTTTTGTTTGTATTTTTGGGTTTGTGCATGTTGTGCTGAAAACTTGAGGCGTGTCTTCTCTGTGCATACATGACTAGAATATGAGATAAATGGTATTGCTGGTCATTTGGTCTGGTTCTATGAATTATTTTTATCAGTCTTTCAACACGGAATAGAGGGAAATCAAATTATTCATGAAGAATTTGTTACTATTTTATATATTTATCTATTTATATTTGTATCCATATGCACATAAATATGTACACCTATAAATTCATAATTCGTAAAAATGTGTGCGTGTAGGCAGGCTCAGTGCTCTGAGGAGTTCATTAGTTGTATTTTTCTTCCTTTATTTGTGTATGTTATTGCACAGGTGTGTGTTTTGTGTATTGATGAGTTATTCTTTGTTTACTTATCTCCCTTTTGCAGAAAATATATTTGTATTTCCGAGGGAACAAGTAATACTTTGGTCAGGAAGCTGTACATTTCTCTTTGAGGTGCACAAGTATATACATATTCTCTTACTAGTCATGTGTGTTTCTTCTTGTTGAGGCAATGGAAAGAGATGTTATGAAATGATTGGATTTCCCGATAGAGATTATTCTACTTTTACCGTGGCATGTTTATGCATTCTTAATATTGTATTAGTTAGATAGAACTCGATTCTACTTCTATTTGTTTTGTTTGTCGGAATTTAAGAGTTTAGTTTTGTTTCGTCACTGCGCTCCTGATTTTTTATTTTTTACTTGTAATTTAACTTTTATTTTAACTCCACCCCTTGAAGAAATACTTTCATTCTGGCCTAGGAAAAATATTGTTAAAATAGGGGTTAAGCTTAATGCCTGATGTAGAATTTAATATGTATTATCGGTCTCTAATGAACTAAGTATATTGATTACAATTAATGTGTAGTTAATAAAAATTATGCACGTCGTTGAACTACAATTATTTAAAAAAAAAAAAAAAAAATCGGGTCATGTCATACAGAGTGAATTGTTTCAAAAATTACTCAATTTATACCATGGTCACGGACTGCTCACTAAACTTCAACATGCTACACACTGCTCACTGAACTTCCTCCGTTTGCACTCCATCCATCACCCAAAAAAAACCGTTATCATTCTCACTGATGTGGCGGATGAAAAGTTGACATGGCAAGCAATGTCCGTTTAAAACATGCCAAATCACATTTGAAATCCTAATCAGCAAAAAAAAGTGTCCAACGTGTATTTAAAAACACATTTTTTACCTTACTTTTTAAAAAAAAAATTCGTTTAAAGAAAAATGGCTTCTTAAAAATTATTGAGGTATTGCTGAAAGGATTAACCTTTTTATTTTTAAAAAATAAGACTATACAAACTTATTTTCTATTTTGAATGAAAAACATAAAAAAAAAAAAAAAAGGCGTTTTTGATGCAAATGCAAATCTCATCCGTGAAAAATTCAGAATAAACATGGGCATAAACGTAAAAGGGGAAATGTTTCGACTCACAATTGCGCGTAGGAAATTTGACATACAACCGCGCCATAAGATGGTTTCTACACTTCTCCTTCAGTTTATATCAAGAATATAACGCGTTTGATTTGCTTTATTTTCTATGGAAAATATCATTTTTTTCACCCAAATTTATACTTTTGGGGTGCGTGATTGACAATTTTTTTTAATGAAAAATATTTTTCATTTTTTGATCATGTGACCATATTTTTTTCAAAAATAAGGAAAAATATTTTCTTTAAAGATGAATGGTTTTTTTTTTCCCAAGTAATTCACTTTCTCTTTCTCTCTCATCTATGCCCCTCTCTTTTATTTACTCACTAATAAAAAATGGACAAGTATAATATTTTAAAATTAAATTAATAAAACACATTTAATTAATAATTTTCATGGAAATAAGTTCCAGGCAATTTGCCAAAAATTTATTTTGTTTTCGTGCAATTCCATGCTCGCAATCAACCATTCAAGACTAGAAAAATGTGAAATTTCCTTCTCGTGGCTGCATCTTCATTTCAAATAGTTAGCATGCCAAAATACATTATCATCAATACAACCGCGCCATAAGATGGTTTCTACACTTCTCCTTCAGTTTATATTGCTTTATTTTTTATGGAAAATATCATTTTTTTCACCCAAATTTATACTTGGGGTGCGTGATTGACAATTTTTGTAATGAAAAATATTTTTCATTTTTTGATCATGTGACCATATTTTTCTCAAAAATAAGGAAAAATATTTTCTTTAAAGATGAATGGTTTTTTTTTTTCCAAGTAATTCACTTTCTCTTTCTGTCTCATCTATGCCCCTCTTTTTTTAAAATTAAATTAATAAAACACATTTAATTAATAATTTTCATGGAAATAAGTTCTAGGCAATTTAATTGCCTAAAATTTATTTTGTTTTCGTGCAATTCCATGCTCGCAATCAACCATTCAAGACTAGAAAAATGTGAAATTTCCTTCTCGTGGCTGCATCTTCATTTCAAATAGTTAGCATGCCAAAATACATTATCATCTGTTGATTTATACTTAATTCAAAATACATTTAGAATGTGAAAAATCCAAATGATGTTCTAGTATTGGTTTTTCCTACAGATTCTGCCATAATTCATTGATGCTTGTTCCTCGTGTTTGTTGCACGTGTCAGTGTTGGAGATGGATGTCGAAACATGCAGATTTCCCCGGCTGAAACAATGGAACTCGTCTCTTCCAAACAATTAACGGCTTGAAGATCAGAGACCTCTACGAGCAGACCAATTCCAAACTAAAATTCACTAGATTTGTATTGTGGTGTAGTTTCATTTTGAGTGTTAGATAAATCCTCACAAATCGAGAAGTTCTCCATCACGTATGTATTTTCAGTTGAAAACCTATGGAGATTTCCAGTATAGTGAAGCAAAATCGCATATGAAATGGAAAAAATTCAAGGACTTTTGGCGGACGAGTTTTTCCTTTCATATATTGATGGATTTAGGACCCGTTTGACAAAGACTTTTGAAAAGAAGTTAGTGAATGATTGAATATACAATTCCCCAAATTTCTCATGTACAATCCGATTTTTTTATTTTACACAAGAGGTAAAAAAAAGGTCGAAAATGTACACACTCACAAAAATTTATACCATGCTGAGAAGGCCAGTGGAGTTTGAACCACTGGTTGATTCCATAGTGAATTTTGTGAGGATCTGCAATGCAATCCATTTCCATTAATGGGTCGTGTGGGAATTACTGTAGTTATTCTGTGTTCTTGATTCACCACCAGAAGCTACTTGTAGAGGTTTTGATAGGATCTTTCTCGGTTTTTTGGCAAAATTGAGATGAATTTATCGCGTGCGAGAATTTCTATTTCATTATCAAAAGAAAAATGTAAAAAGAAAGACAAAAGTGAATTATTTCGGCAAAATGTCCAAGTAAAACTGTATCTATCGTAACACACTTAGGTTCCAGACAAAAAACCAACTTTTAGGCCTTGTTTGTTTCTGATTAAGCGTCCGTTTGGTATGCATTATCTATGGCAAGAATGCATTTTTCTGTCAAATCAAGTGGGCTCCACCGCTGGCTACTTTGTTCCCGGGCTAATCAATTTCTCTGCAGAATTATTATAATGCCCTTCTGTGAAATTTGGCAAGTGAGTGGGTAAGAATTGATTGAGGATAGAAAGGAGAATGTTTACAAAATTATTCAAAGTGAGGGCACATGTTCCTTTAAACGGGTACTGTTGCAACGGTTGGAAAATGTCTACAAATTGGCAAAAATTGGTATCAAATAGAGCTAAAATCAGATTTTAATCTAACTTAAAGTCAAACAATCATTATTAATCACATTTTTCATGGTCCCACAACTTTTCAACCACACATTTCAAAAACTTTTATCACAATCTACTAAAAATCTAATTTTAATCCCCACCAAACACCCAATTTTGAGCGAAATTAACTCAAATAAGTTGCCTTCTTAGAACATATCATCCTTAGTTTCTTACTCTCTGACGACTTCATTGTTGAATCCTAAAATGTGGTACATCTAAACCTAATTGAAAATCCAAATTGTTGAGAAGTGTAAAGAAATAACGCTTAAGTATTGTCAATTGAGTAAATCACTGGCCAAGAAAAAAATTGGCCTTCTATTGAATTGATGCATTTTACTGTCCCCATAAGCATAATTTTCAAGAGCCACTATCGCAGCTAGGTTCTTTGCTGCTATAGTTTTTGGTTTTTGCCTTAGGGAAATGTTCAATTCTCTTGAATAACACTACCCGTTGTCTGATCGGGAGGAAGGTTGTGTATCGTATATTCCATAATCCCATATCATTTGGATTCGTACAAGTGCACGTTTCTTTGATCGGCATGTTTAGCCACAAGTACTTCACCGCTCATGCTCTTCCTACTGCACTTCTGGCATTTGGTTATTACTTGTAACTTAATTTGAATGTGTTTCCTTACTTTCTTCAATTCAAATTCTAAATTCTTGTGTACTAAATTTTTTTATTTCATGAAAGACTAGAATAAGGCTAGAGAATAGTCCAATGGTGCCTTTTTTGTACGTATACTACCAAGTGAACAAACCAATGTCTTTTAACTGTCTTGTAAATTTCACAACCAGCTGTTTTGCAGTGTACATACTAGACACCCTACAAAAATGTTTGTTTCTACTGCCAAACTCCAACAGAAATTCCAATTTCTACAATAATCGTAAGTGCGTAAATGGGAGAAAGAAGTCCGCAGATTCAAGAAAATATGGCAGAAAGGCCTAAAGAATATGAAGAAGTTATGGCAACACCAGATGTTCATAGAGTGGCGATGGAATTCCAGAGGGCTGAAGAGAATTACGAAAAATATGCGGCGAATCTTGAAGAGAAGCCGAACAAGGGTGAAGTTCTGTGTTGGTATTTATATGGACTGTGTTCGTATTTTGTTCATACTGTTCTGATTCCAATTGTGTTCCCCCTCATCATCAGCCAAACCGTGTCCATGCCACATGAGCCTCAACGAGGTTGGTTGAAGAGCTATAGGGATTTGAAGTGCAGGAAGAATGAAATGCAACTGTAAGTATATATTAATTAGCATCGAAATTTGATAAAAGGTCATTGATGAAATAGAATCAATATTAGCATTGTAAATGTCGTAATTTGATGGAAGGACAAATTAGGTCGTTGAAGAAATAATCGACTTTTCTACCTGGAAATAAACAGGGTAAGGAATTTTAACAAATATAATCTCTAGTCCATAAAAAAATTTAATGATCACAAAGCCATTCTGATCTTTCCGGCTTTTAATGGCAGAACTTTCTTCTTCTTATTATGCTTCAATGAAAAATCTTTTACATGAGTTGGTTCAACATTATATAATTGATTGTCATTCATTCACGAGAGAAGGCGTGTGTTAAAATATAATCAGTACATAGATGTTTCGGTCTCTAACGCCTTATTCTTTTAATGAGTTGGTTCAATGTTATATAACTGAACTATCGAGCTTGCTATATCACAGAATACTGACCATAACAGTGATTAATTACAGATATGAAGGACTAATACAACGGTCCATCAGCGTCAGTAACAAGAGTTTCTCCCCATTAGAGTGGACTTCGATTTCATGGTTTACAGGACTCATTCTTTCCGCACCTTTACTTGCCGTTGTCTCACTTCACCTTGATTATGACACAAACCCGCAACTAATACCCGGGGTAGCAACAGGTCTTGGAGTCATCTTCTGCCTGCCTGCAGGATTCTTCCGAAAGTCATGGATACTTACAGTATACATAGCCATTATTGTAGCGGCTAACACTATTGGTGCAGCCTACCATGCCCGCCACCTCGGCCTAATGATCAGAGGATTCCTCGGTTCGACCATAACTAAAACCCGTTTCCCAGATAGGAGAGTTTTTGGTAGTTATCTATCCCTTTACAGCACCTCAGCTGGGTGCTTGGGTGCTGCCATTATATCTTCATTCACGTACCATATGCTTGGAAGGGATGATCACTTCACTGCCTTATGGGTTGTGTCGATTTTCAGTGGCCTAATATGGGGTGTCGGATTGGTTCACATTTTCAGTGCTAATAGGCCTAGTGCAAGAGCCTTTTCATCATCAAATTCTGTACCAAAAGTCCATGCCTTGTCAATTTTCAAGTACCCTTATGGAGTAGGAAGCCTTGCTGCGGTATTCCTTTCATCTTTCTCAACAATGTGCATTTTTGCAGGAGGGATACTTTATGCAATTGGCTACCTTTGCCTCGAACCACATAACGTATTATTTCTATGGTTGACATATTTCATGGTTCCTTTACTTTCCCTTTCACTGCTCCATCCATTACAGCAGATAATGAAGGCAGATGCCATGAAAATGAAGCTTCTTGGCTTCTTATTAGCAACGCTTACTTCCGGTTATGGATTCTATTTCCACAAACACAATTGGCAGATAAAACATTTGCTTGTTTTTGCTGCTATCCAAAGCACTGCAACTGGTCTGCTGCATGCATTTGGAAGGCTTCTTTGGTTAGAATGTTCACCTGCAGGAAAAGAAGGGACCTTTTCAGTATGGTTTTCGTGGGTGAGAGGATTAGGCACCTGTGCAGGTTTTGCTATTGCAACAGCTGCGCCTGGAAACATTGGAAGGTCGTTTGGCATAGCATTTTGGGCTGGGATTACTGGGATGGTTATTTTGATATTTGCCAATATCACTAGTCTTGGAGCAGCCAAAGCAGCAGGACTTGTGATAGAAGATAGCGAGAAAGCTTCGCACTCATATGGCTGGGATAATGGCATCGACATACAGGGCTCAGTTATAATAGATACACCAACTCAAGGGAAGATTTGAGTTTAAGATGAGACTTTTTCCTGAACATACTGAATAAGTTGAGTTTATCTGATTATTCTTTTGTAATAATTGGGAACAATAACAGTTAATACGGTTGCTTTAGATTATTCTGATTTGGTATTTAAAATAATTGTAGCATGTTTAATGCAATCGATGGAATATTACTCGACAAAATAATGAACAAGTATTTCATGTGCTTCTCTATTCTTGTCAAGTTCCGTCTGAAAAGTTTGGAGTTCTCTAAAATGGATGACATAGTAACTTCGATCCCCAAGTGCTTGCATCTTTCTTGTTAAGCATGCCACGTAGTGGCGGACCTAGCACCCGATGATGAGGAACGGCCTCGAGTGCTGGCTCCGTCGGAACAGTGGAACTATGGAAGGAAGAGGAAGAAGGCGACCGGACCGATGACAAAGGTTTCTTTCGAGTGCTGGCTCCCTGTGATCGCCGGTTCATCTGGCGCTCTCGGCGACCTGCGCTTTCGGCTATCTCCCTACGAGCGGATCTCCCTGCGACGCTGCTGTTCTCTGTGCTTCTTCATCTTTTTTTATTCAGTGGTTTGTTTGGGTACGGTGGTGGTGTGCGGTGGTTGGATGCGTGGTGTGTGGTAGTCGTGTGCGATTTGCAAGTTGTGGCAGTGGTGGTGGCGATCTACAGGTTGTGGCTATGGCGGCGGTGGTTCTGCGACGATTTTGGCTATTTTTGTGGTGGTGGATCTGGCAATTGTGTTGTGGCGATTTTTGTGGTAGTGGGTGGTGGCTGTAATGGTAGTTGTGGTGGCGGATCCAACGGTTGTGTGGTGTAGGCGGCGGCAGTGGTAGTTGGGGTGATGTTGTGGCGGCGGAAGCGACGACATTGGTGGTGGTTGGAGTGACGTTAAATTGAAATATCCAAAACATGTTTTGAAAATTTTGGTTTGGTTTTAACTGAAAACATTCAAAAGGACATTTTTATTGTTTTCGATTTTCTTTGTAAATTTTAAACTTGTTTTCGGAAATTTGTTTTTGAAAATAGGTAAGCAAATGTTCTCTTCGTGAAACATAAAAGATTTTAGATCAAACACCAAAAACCTTACATTCACCTATAACCTTTCAAATTTCTAAAGTTTGGAGAAGAGGTGCTTGGAGTTCCAGCGCTACGGAACGAGGTTCGTACTTGATGATTCAGTGGAGAGAAAAGTAGTCCAAAGTTTTGGAAAGTGTAGGTCACACAATTGAAAATGTTTTTCGGTGATTTACAAGTTGGATGATCAGAGTCAACTAAATTTTAACACTGTCTGAACTAATTGTAAGTTAACTTTTCTAATTGATTGTTTTAACAAGATTTGCCCTGAAAGTTTTTGATTCCAATAAAGAGTTTTTCAAGGAGTTTTCCTCCATGAACATATATGGTGTTATTTACTTTCTTGCTTCTGATCTGTAGGTTCGTGATTGTTCAACTTAGTGCTTAAATTGATTTTAAACTTAATCATATAGAAACAATAATCAAATGGCTTGTTGCTTGTTATTAATTAACTCCGTATATTTGGGTTTAAATAATCTCTAACAATCATTAATGGTCACTCGGTTAAAAATATTAATGTTTACTCCTACGTAAACCCAAACTATGTTATATATTCCACCACGTCGGTCGAGTTAATTACACCGGTCACTGAAGAGTAAATTTTAAAATGGTAATTAAAGTAATATTCTTAGTAGTCACTGAAGTTTAAATCATTTATTAATCACTTCAAAACATTGATGTAAGAGTTAATAAGTTAAGGATAAATAAGAGTTTCCTATCTACAACAAATGCCACAAGAAAAAACAAAAAACCAAAATAGCCCTCATTTTCATATAATTACAACCAGATAAGAGACAATTTGAATTTGTAGCACATTCAAAAAAAAAAAAAAAAAAAAATCGGTTCTCAATGGTTTCTTTATAACCTATTGATGTTCGTTTTCAACCATCTTCCACTCATTTTTCAAGTTGTACGCTCTTTCTAAGAAATCTAAATAATAACTCCTTTAGATCGAGAGAGCGATGAAGGGTCGACTTGAACAGTGAACACAGTAATTACGAACGCCATGATCCTACAAAATTAAGCCAAAAAAAAAAAAAATCCAAAAAAAATTATTAAATTACAGTCGAGTGTGATCCTAATTTAATGATAAAGGAAATAACCCTGCTTTTGATAAACAAATACGGAGTTCAATTCACGCTATTTTTTTTTTCTAATTGAAAAATTTATAGGGTTATGACATTTTACCATAAAGTGCTTGACAAGATAGAGTGAAATAATGAGTGTTGACAAGATGTGATTAGATAAAAAAATTGACTGTATTTGAAGCTGTCCAATAATAAAGTGTCACGCAGTATTATGTCATCCATTATATCAAGGATTATGTCACTATAACATGATTCAATTTTATATACTCCTAAACTATGAACTTCACCAATACCATAAATGACGAATCCTACTGTTGAGGTGATTTTATTCGGAAGTTTGCACATCCAATATTAGATGACCCGAATTAGCCCCCGTCATAAAAAAGATAATATCTAATATATTATTTAATGCTTAACTCTAGATCAAAGCTAATCAGAGAAATTAGAAATCAACTTGAAAAAATTAGGGTAACTGATAAATTGGGAAGAATTGGAGAGGAAATAAAGTACAGCAATGTTTTTAACAGAGTGACCAATAGTCTAAACGTTAGTTAAATGAACATTTTGACATTTACTCCAAACTTCAATTATCACCGACGTAAATAACCCTCATAAGCAACATAAGATATAATGTTATTTGTATCCACGTTAACTTTTAATTGTGCCTCGTAACTAGAGGTGTCAATGAGTCAAATCAAGTCAGCTCGAGCTCACTCATATCCACAAACAAGGTTCAACTTAATCCTTTTGGCTCGTGTAGACACGAGCTGAACTTGAGCCAACCCATGAACCCACAAATCGACTCATTTTTAAGAATTTAATAAAATAAGTCAAAAAATAGTTAAAAATGAGCCATTCATGGGTTGGACTTTGGGTCGAGACTCAACTCATTTGTCAGTCCTAGCGTAGCATTAACCACATTAAAACTTACGCCAAATTTCATCGACTATCTGATATTTTAATCCTAATTGGGTTAGAGATTGTCTTAATACAATTCCGTATATTTTTTACACGTACAGTGATCCTACGGTTGATTGAAATACAAGGAATTAATTGCACACGGTTTCATAAACGTACAAGAAAATTGCCTTGTTCTCTCTTTCTCGTCTCTTTTGACATTCTTGTTGTCTAACTATAGATTCACAATTCTTCAAGATCCAGAAAAGCAAGAAAACCCCAAATCTCTGATCATCTGATTTTCCCTAGCGAAGGTGCACTCCTTTTTTCGATTGATTTCTTTGATGTTTTTGTAGCCGAAGAATGAACTTAAAAAATTCTTTTTTCGGATTATACAGATGAATAAGTGCTTATATAAAATCAACATGCTTAGGTAGCATATGATTGTTTATTGAACATGGATTACTTTTAAGAAATGGTTTTATGAATTTAACCGATTTGTAAATCACCTCAACTATGGTTTTAGGTAGAAAGGAAATCACATATATATATTTTTTAATTATTTTTAATGATGTTGTTCTGTTAGAATTTTGTTGTAATTTGTAAATACTCTGTTTGTAAAATGGAATTTTCCTGGTCAAATATTTGGTATTCCATTCTTTTTGACCTTTTTGTCTCTGATCCATGGCTGTCGTTTCCTTCGATTCAAACTTGATATGCTGTGGGCTTAGCTGTCATTTTTTTCTATTTCCTTTCAGTTTCCATTAAGATATAAATATTCATTTTTCGAATTGATTGTAGGTTTGATGTCAATCTGTTTATTAAGTTGTCATTATTATTAGTTTTATGTTTTCTGAATCTTCATTTTCAGGCTTCGAGGCATTTCGAATTTTTCGTGCATTATTTCAGGTTTGAATTTATCATCCATAAATCCTAAAATATTCGGGCGTGAAAGCGTCAAATTGATGTATGGCTTTAGCACTAACCCATCTGTCATGGTGGTTGTGGAGTGGGAAGCAACAGGAACCTAAAATCTCTGACGTGTCTTCATTGAATTCCTCGCCGGATTCGGATCTGTGGGAAATGGACACATTGAAGTTCCCGGTGGTTCATAGAAAAGATATAGGTTCCTCATCTGGACGGGTTAAGAAAAAATGGCACAGTCGAGAGGAGCGAAGAATTGACAGGGAATATGATGTTGTTCTTGTGCCATCAGATGGTGGATGTCTTTCGGGGTCTGATTCTGATGGTTCAGATTGGTCAGTTGGATGGTTGGAGCCCCATGGCCCTGGCTTCCAAAGTGGTGATAATTTTGATGATAGTTTTGCTGTGTTGGTTCCTTGCTATGGTCACGGTCAAAAGGATCTGGTAGATAACTCTAAGGAAGTGTTTATAGGCACAATTGGGAACATCTCAGATATACATGCTGCTGGTAAGAGTCAATCTCTGAAAATCTAATATCTGTTACTTTAAATTTAACCTTAATATTAATGTTTGTTTTAATTCTTTTCTGCTCTTTTGGTTTGATCCCAATGGATGCACCTGTTGGATGTGATTTGAGTTTTTATTCATTGACATCAGATTGGTAACATAATAATTATGATCATATTATTGGTATTCAACTCTCATTGGTAGGGAAATTAAATCATTCACGTCTAGAGTTGGCTACTGATAAATTAGAAAATCCAACATGGAATTGCATATGAACTGAAGCAGAGGAAACAGCAGTATTTTGATGCTCATAACTTGGATATCTGAATTGCTTTCTGTTGAATGGTCCATATTTTGTTTCTTGTTTGGTATAAAATGTTAAACTGAAAAATCAGATGTAAGAAACAAAGGAGATGCCTGTGTCAAACGGTAAAATCTTGATACAAGAATCCATGAATGATAAGCTGATGAAAGTGGTCGAGAGTTAAAGGAGGCAGAAATTTTTAAAATAGAACCTTGAATGTGGAGCATAAAAGCAATAAAAGGAGATCAATAAGCTCCTTGAGTTTACCAAATTTGTTCTACTAAAGTGCAAGAACGAAAAGGTGTAAGGAGCAGTGACGGATTCAGGAATTCGATTGATTTAAGGCGAATCCAGGTGAGCGGCCATATGGAATTTTTTTTCCCAACGGAGCAAGGAAAGGCGGCTGCCATGGCTTGTCGGGTGCTGGCTCTGCCCCTAGTAAGGAGATGAACAGGAGAATCTTGTAGAGGAGGAAGAGAAGGAACAGAGCCCAATAAGGGTGAGACAAAGAGAGGGGAAAAGTGAAGGGTCGATGTGGAATAAGAAACCAAAGGAGCAGCAGTCTAACCTGGAACTATATTCTTCAGGTTGAAGTAGAGAAGAATTTATGGTGAAACTCTTGAATCCTCTGTTCTACCCTGCCATAAACCATTCAATAGGACTGAGCTAAAAAATTTCTAAAAAGACATGGACAGTCTCGATACGAAATTAAACCCACCTGAACTAAAAAAGGGAAAACAACCGCCTGCAACTTATTAAAATAAAAATCAAAACATAAAGATCATATTCCAGGACTAAATTAAACCAGTTTTGCTGCTAGGTACTTTCAACAGCTAAAAGAGATTATTTTTTGGTACGCACCACAAACTTGTACCCTTACTGTGTAGACGCTGTTATGTCTTCTTTGAGTTCCAGTTTTGTTTCAACCTCTTTGCTTTCCTTTATTTGCTGCTTTTCTTGAGGGTTAAGAACGGGAACAAGATAAAAAGCCAGAAGAGGGAAACAATAATAGTGGTTTTCTAATTAACTTGCACGAACAGTCTTTCATAACTTCTTGGGTTTAATTGAATAATTTTTACCTGAAAAAGGAAATCCTTATTCAACCGGATGCTATACGTCGTGCAAGTTCACTATAGCAAGAATTCCAGGGATGTCTCTATGCTGCTTCTTTCATGGGATTATGAACATTTGTTTGGAGCTTTTTGTCTTAAACATATGTCTCAAGTGTTAGTTTTTATGTGTGACTGATAAGAAAAATGGATGCAACATGATATTCCTTCTTTCTCATAGAACACTAATGCCTTTTCCTTTTTTCGTAACTTCATGTAAAATTTTAGTTACCAGAACTAACACTGCTTCAGAATCAAGTTTGGTCACAACAGGAGAGTTCTATAGCACCCCCTAAGTGAAAGATGGGTAGTTAAAGTGGTTTCTTGCTTCAGAGTTAAATATCAAAAAGAATGCATAAAGTAGGTCGGCCTCGAATTGGTCTAATTTACTTCATCTGGATCATAAATTCTTTACTGATAATATTCAAGTATTGAAAAACCACTAGAGTAAGTTTCTAACTAAGCAGAAAACCCAATTGAACTGCAAAACGTTATGATAGGAACTTCGGTACCAGCTATGAGAGACAGGATTCACCAGACTCCTGGGGTACCGCTAGTTGTCACTGAAAATATTGTTTCCTGAATTTTTATAGGAAGAGAGTGTTCTTCTGGCGTGACGGAATATTTACATAATTTCTCACTTTGTCTTCTTCCGTTACACTGGGAATTGTAGATATAGTTGCAGATAATCTAAAGGAATCAGATTATAGTTTTTTATTATGGTGGATAGAATGTGCATAAGATTCAGTAGTAGGTGCTCTTAACTAATTCTTTTAGTAAAAAAATGTGGGTTTTGCAACATGGATATCTCTTCCTTCGCTTCTGTTGTTTTAACTTTCTACCTTGAGAGTAGCACCAGTTCTCTTTCTTTACGCCTGGTGCTACATCTCGTGTTTCATGATTATTACAGTTTGTCAATCATTCTTTTATGGTTAAATTCTAAAACTCCACTGTAATTTCCGAATGTGCTAAAAATAATCTTATTTTTCATGCGCGATGCTGGTGTTTAGAGCTTTATAAGCCTTTCAAATATAAGGATAAATAGTATTAGTTTGTAGTTTATGTTTTGATTCAATTTAAGTATTAGCCCCTGTTTGATGGCCATTATAAAGAGAAATTGGGGGAAGATTATGTTTTGAATAGTGATTTTTTGGAGAATGTGTGGTTAAAAAGTAGGGAAAAGTTTTGGATTTACATGCAAAATAGTTTATTGTGTGAATATGTGGTTGAAAATGAGTATGAGAAATATAGAGTTTTAATTTAAAGAGAGTCAAACATGGGCTTAGTTTGGTCAGCATCCGTGGTTATATTAATTTTATCATGTCAAGGATATTCTGGAGATTTACGATTCTGATTATACCTGCATTTTGATGTATTCCAATTATGTTCTTGAAGCAAATTCTCAAGTCCAGTAGGACTATTCTTGAGTTTTTAGTTCCTTGTTGAAGTAGGAGGTTTCTTGGAGCCTATGAATAAACACGTATTCGTCATAATTTAACAAAAATCAGTTTAAATATTCTCCCAGAGATCTGTTAGCCTTTCTTCGATGGAATCCATTGTCAAGTGTGATCTCTGAAAGGATTTTAGGAATGATTTTAGGCTTCTTATTCACCCTTCTCTTATTCTTTCTTCTGATGTATATTCTTTTTCCTGGCAGTTTAGCATTCGAACCCTACCTGTACTTACTTTAGAGAGCTTGTTAAAGAATTCCTAAAATCAAACTACATTTTAACCTAAATAAAATGAAATTCCTACTCATTTTAGACCTAATGTACATCTGTTGAGAGTAATCCATTTTATGCCATAATAAAAGCTACTAAAAATTTTTAGGGTCCGTTTGATTGCAAAAGTGAAATTTGAGTGGAAAGAAAATGAATTCTAGGGAATTGAGAATTGTTTTCTTGGAAATTATCAATTAATTGGGTTTGATTAATATAATTTTCCACGTGGAAAATATTGAAAATTTGGATTTTTTGATGTTCGTTTGAATTTATTTTACATAAAAATTATCNTGGTGTTCATTTGACTTTGTATTACGTGAAAATTGTCTAGTAAAGGAATGTAATTTATTACAATTGAGGAAGTAGGCTTGAATACCAAATCCCACCAAATTGGTGGGAATTGATTTTCCTCAAAACCATGTAATTGGAATCGTGTGAGACAAAAGATGGAAAATGAATTGCCAAGAAAATTTTCTCAATCAAACATGACTTTTGGTGGAATATGGAATTTCATTTCCAAGTTCCATGGAAAAATTGCCAAATTAAACAGGGCCTTAATTCAGAAATTATTCTTAATATAAAGAGAGAAGAGGATCAGAAAATTGTGAATAAGTAAATCTATAAATGAAATAGCAGAACAAACTAAAAATAAAAATGTGGAGAACAATTTTGTGTAGTAAAATTTTGATATATATTGCTAATTAATATCAACAAAATATTGAATCATACCCAAAAATTAATATATTAAGCGGGGATAATTTTTTTCATTTTTATGTTAACCGATAATAAACCTGTCTAGAGTTAGCATCATGACAGCTAGCTTACCACCAACTTAAAAGCACAAGAAATTGTATTCAAGTCCTTGAACCACTACGTGATTTTCACATTTCAAAAACCACGAGGAAATTTTCACATTTACCTAGTTCTTTAATCAAGATGTCACATAATAAGCCATTTTTTGAGAACTCGGCGCCTTAGTGGAAGCTAACTAGAACATGGAAATTTTAGAGTTGACTTTGGGTTTATTGGCAGGTTTTGGAAAAGTCAGAAGCTGCTTTTGGTAGAGGTGTCAAGACGGAATTTGAAAAAAAGGGGGGGAGAGTTAAGACTAATTTATAGTTAAGAGTTAAGTAGGTGTCAACCTCGTTGGGATGTACTTATACTATAAATATTTGATAATAGTAATTAGAAATTTTATTATTTGTTTAAGTTAAATTTAACTTTGCAAAGTTATAAATAATTCATGTAACATTAAATTTGAATTCTATGTAAATATTTTTTGGTATAAATATGAATTTATCATTTTGTTTAATTCTTAGTTTACATTTAACAAAAAAAATATTTTTTACTATAAATATAAAAAATTCTATATTTTTATAATTTTATTTATACAATAATACGGGCCAAATCGGAACAAACCGTGACCCGCGCGACCCGTGACCCACATGGGCTCGACCCGGATGGGTCAGTGGGCAGGCCTGGGTTGTAGTCCAAAATTTGTGGGCCGACCCGGAACAGGCCCGAAACCCGTAGCGGGCGGGCTTTTTTTTTCACGCGGACCGTTACCGGGCTCATATGTTGGCATGCCGACCCGGCCCGGACCACCCGGATGGACACCTCTAGCTTTTGGGACTAAGAAGTTGTTTTTGGACTTGATTTAGATAATTTCATGAAAGTGTTTTGTCTAATTAAAAAGGCTTTTAAGAAAGGTAGCCCAATGCGACTTCCTTCATAATCTCGTCTACAAAAAGAAGCAGCAGAAGTTATCATAACCAGGCCTTTATAATCTTGCTTCTTTATGATATTGCTTAAAAATGAAAGTCTTCTTCCTACCTGCCTCTGGTTGTTAACTCCATACATGCCATTTTCTATCCAGTTGAGTTTCAGATACCTTTTCTAATTACTTGATAGCTTCCATCTATTTAAATGAGCATCGCACAATCTAAAATATTCTCGATCCAGTATGATATATTTCATGATTTTTCGATCTCATTTGCAGAGAACAAGAAGTATATGGAGCAGTGGGTCTCTACTCTTCAGAACAGCTGACATTCCAGAACACCCTTGTATGGGCTTTGGTCTTCTCGTCCTACTACATTCTAAGTTGGATTCATCATGTTTATAGTTATCCCGTATCTCTTAAACTTGAAAAAAGAAAAAAATTAAAAAAAGAAAACAAAAGAAAAATGTGAAATATTATAAAGATCAACTTGTGAATAGCAATATTATGATATGCTATAATGTGGCCACTAGAAAGGAATGGTTAGTCAGGGAATTTTCTAATTGATTTCAGTTTTCAGAACGATAGGAGTTGATGTATTGTATATTGCAGGGGAAGGCGCAAGAAATTTGAAAATGCCAAAAAAAAAGAAAAGAAAAAAAAAAAAAAAAGAAAGAAAGAAAGAAAAAAGACACCATGCTAAACTCATGGTGTACTCCATCATTTCTAGATAGGAGTTGATGTATTGTATATTGCAGGGGAAGGCGCAAGAAATTTGAAAATGCCAAAAAAAAAGAAAAGAAAAAAAAAAAAAAAGAAAGAAAGAAAGAAAAAAGACACCATGCTAAACTCATGGTGTACTCCATCATTTCTTGGTGTAAATATGTCTGTACATATGCAAAAAGTGCTGCTTGTCTTTGTAAATACATTATTTCATTGGGAAGAAATATATTGTCATTGTAAGGAATTGGATGCTATGTATTTGAACTCTGTGTTCTGTATATAACATTTTTCATTGTAAGGAATTGGATGCTACGTATTTGAACTGTGTGTTCTGTATATAATATTTTGTTAAGTAACTTCTTTTTTTCTGTATACGATTTTTGGTTTCATTTGTTCATTTATTTGAACGTAAATTTGTCTTTTTAGTTCACTTTGTATTATGTGAAACCGTCATTGAACTACCATTTCTACCTATTAATGCAAAGGTGAAGAGCTTGCCTCGAAGAAAAATACATTGGTGAAAGAAGTGCAAGTAGAGATAGAGGTAGAAGATGGCTTGTGTAGTTTGTTATGACGTTCTTTCGGACTTCGATACTTAGACTAAAAGTTTGCCAATTTTTAACATTTAGTACTTGTTTGGTAAAGTTTTTGTTTCTTAAAAATTAGTCAGATTTTATTTTTAACCACACATTTCATTTTCTCTATTTTTTTAAGGTCGAAAGTACTGAGTCATTCAACTTTGATCTGAGGTGCATTTAGGTCACTTGTCTTTTATTTGATACAATCAGATCACCCAACTTCTGTAAGTTTAACTATTAAAATATGCTGTCTTCCTTTTTAAAAATAATGAATAATGGACATATTAAAATATGCTTTTAGATTATATGGTATTTTTAAGAAAATAATTTAGAATTAGTGAAATGCATTGTTGTGTAACGTGACTTTTATAGTAGTCTTAAGTTAGTTTTAATGTTCAAGTTAGCGTATAGCATTAGTTAAATTGACGGGGGGAATTCATATATTTTCAAGATTTGAAAGCAAATAAAATTATGATACTACTAACGTGGTTTAACTTCTATTCTGATTATATCTATGACCAAATCGAAGTTGAGTGATTTGATTTCACCAAATTGAATACAAGTGATCTATGCACCATTGTTGAAAGCTAGGTAACCCTTAATGCATTTAACCCTTTCACTACACATTTCACGAGAATCATTAGCTTTTATCAACTTTTAACAACATCATATGGCCCTTATGATTGTTTTCTTGTGTTCAATCTGGATTTTCTGTAGCTTCCTCTATGTATGTGTATGGTTTCACGAAAGTTTGCTACAAGAGTTTTTTCGGCTTGGATTTGCTTGGTTTTGGTTGGTTCTTTTTATATTCTTTTCTAGAAATTTTATCATTTGATTTCAAAGCTTCCATTGATTTTAAATGCCTGTTAAAGATAAACAAGAATGGCATCTTCACTTCCATTACCAACAGTGTGTGCTAGAGAGAATTATGAATTTTAGTGTGTTAGAATGAAGGCTTTGATGGCATACGATCTATGGGAAGTAATTAAGCAAGGCTAGAAAACACTAGAATCAAATGTAAACTATAGAGTAATGTTATGAATTGGTATGCTCTGATACCAGTTTGTTGCACAAGAATAATGTAATTTTGCAGAGGATGAAGATTTTATTATAATATGGAGTAAGAAAATAAAGATTATGTGTTTACAATATTTTTAACTTCCTATTAAATCATAATGAAGAGCCAACTATATATAGAGAACAAATAAGGGACGTCTAAACCCTAATAGTAGAGTTGTAGTTGAAGTAGAATGTCAAAACCAGAGTCCAAGAGGCGAAACAGACAGATGGGGCCTCAGTGCCACAGCGGCAGGCGAAAATCACCTTGGCACTACAACGTTGGTGCCGCGGCGCCCACTTTCGGGTTCTTTACTCAAAAATCTTGATTTTCTTTATCATAATGTCTTCTTCAAGTCCAATACAAATTCCGACTCCCAATGAACTTCTAAGTAGAATTCCAATTAGAATTCGCAAGTAAACTTGAATAGGATTTCACAATAGCATTTCAAATAGAATTCTTCTTAATGTACATTTTAATTAGAACTCTCAATTATATTTCAACAAAAAATTCGGATCACACCCAAATTCTAACAAGTAACATGACTGAAGCAATAAAAATATCAACCCATTAAGAATATAAAGGCACTTTCCTTTCTATATTAATCAGCTATGCCTCAACAATTTTCCAAGGAATAGTTATTTGTCTACAGGCAAAGAAGCTTGAGATAAGTTTGAAGAAGAGTTCAAAGGCTCACAGAAAGTGAGAGTTGTAAGGTTGCAAGCTTTGAGCAAGGAGTTCGAAAATCTCAAAATTAAAGAAGCTAAGATGATCAAAGATTATGCTTCAAGGGTGGTGGATGTTGTTAATCTACTCAAACTGAATGGGGAAGAAGTATCAGACAAGAAAGTGACAATAGCCATAGAGCACATAAAGTACCTGCTAAGTCTCTCGATCTTTAACAGAACTTACACGGGCTTTGTTAGCATAAGAGCAAAAACAATCAGCAAGATCAGAAAATTCAATCTAAGAAGCTTTCACTGCGAAACATAAACAACAATGCTAAAGAGGAAGTGGTGAAAAAAACGTTTTAGGATGAGAGAGAGAGAGAGGAGATGCAGTAGTAAACCAAGAACTAATAGAGTAGAGACAACTAATAAATAAAGCCCGAAATCATAATGCCTAATAAGAATGAGCATCGGTGCACTGGTGGAACCAAAAAAATTTCATTACAAACTAAATTGTGTTTTTTAAGAAAACAACATACCGTTACTGAAAATACATTTTAACAATGTTGCCTATACAATTCCAAGATTTGAGAATGTTAAAAAAATACACCATCATTGTTGTCAAAAAAACGATCCTCAACATACGATACCAAGCTATCGTTCAAGTTTCAACCATTAATCTCTTATTCGATAACACATTAGAGGAACAAATGCTTCTTTTACTCGAACTTGGCTTGAGAAAATTAAAACACTGTTTATTAGAAAGGGGTTTGAATTTTCTTCTTGTAGTTTGAAAACTGGTGATTCCTTCAAATGTGCTCTCTAAGCCCCTGTTTGCCCCCCATTTTTGCAAATTACATTACATTTTCTTGTAGCCCAAAAGATTACCTTTAACCATCACATCATGAAATACTTGCAAAAGACTGGTTGATGTGCATTACTTCTTTCTTAACATATAGGCATAGTCTGTCTACATCTTCATTGAAGGAAGGGTGAAAGCAATACATATTTTTAAAACCTGCATAGATAGTACACCGTAGGATAATCGATGGAGATATAGCCCACTGTAGCCCCCATTTATTGTTTTGTAAAACTCAATTTTCAAAATTTATTTCCAGCCATATATTTTATGTGATGTATAACTTTAATTAACTTTTTAGCTATACAGCCCATCACCTCTTATCAAAATCCATTAAAAACCTAAATTCTATCAAAACCTAATGGGGACAGTGTTTATCAACATACCAGCTACACAGATTCTTTATCAATTTACAGTTATGAAGATAGACGATAAGGTCAACTTCTTGATTTGAAATCCACTTAGTTCCGACTTCCCTGGAGATTACATCCATTTACTTTATCCTTAATCTCTTAAAGATACAAGAGAATTGTATGTTTAGGGAGTGTTTGAGCCACATTATTTTATAAGAATGCATTCTGGAATAGTAGATTGATGGGGAATTTGTGGTTGAAAAAGAAGGAAAAGTTATTGATGTGATAGAAAATATTATTTTATTGAAAAATGTGTGGTTGAAAATGAGTAGAAAAATGAGAATGAAAATTTCAATTTGTACCAAACAGGGGCTTAATAATAAATTTCAAAGTTTTTGTGGGGTCACTTGACCCCAAAATCATATTGTTTGCATCCGTCGTTGCCGAGACAAGAGTTCAACTCTTTCTCTTTAAAATGATAATGCTCCGCATTGGTGCTGACGGTATTCAAGCACTCATCTCCCAAAGAGTGTCAAACTTCTTGTATACTAAGCTGAATTCAAAACAAAAATAGCGGAAGATTGACATAAAGATATCTAATGTTTTATAACAGAAAATTCACGATTATAAGTGTTTTTTAATTAGTGTGTTTCCCTTTGATCTATTGTTTTATATTATTTTGTTTATGAATGTTTACTTTGGTTGTGGTGAGATTATGCAGATACTATAATAAATTTTAGGACATTACCTAATGATAAATATATAACGTGCGATGCATGTCCTTCTTACTATGTAATAACTAATCGAAACAAATTTGTGATTACTATACATATGTCTTCTGTAACCATTCCATTCGATCCAAACTCTTTATATCAAACAAAGTATAATTCATTATTATTTTATTACAAAATTTAAAACTGTAATTGATTTAAATAAATAGCATTTAAAAGGTATAAACCAAGTGTTCTCGGATCATGCACATTATGTACATAATTTATTACATTAATCTCAATTTTTCGGTTATACATATCGCTTGAGGTAGTCTTCCACTGTAGTATACTTCACTTCTGGATAAAGTTTAGATGCCTCTT